TTGTTATTTGAGATCATTTTGATTCTTTTCAGATGCCAAAGTGTAAGTAGGACAGTGAACCATCAAGTGACCAGAAAAGTCTTTCCACTGCTTGGTCAGGTTTTGACTTTTCAATTACAATAGATAGGAAGGTCCCCACATATAAATCAAAACTACTGGTCATGTATATCCTTGTTAATCCAATCAAATTGCCAACAACCATGTTTGTTGTCTTTGCTTTGCAATATCGGATAGAATTAGATATACATAATTTTACCATCGAATATGAACATCGCATATGAGGGGGTATTGTTTCTTTATTTCAAACACTAAAATCTTCTAATCACAATAAAACAATTTTATCGTTACGAATTACAACTATTTGTTTACCAGATAAATAAAAGACAATTCAAGAGAATCAATTTGGTACAAAAAGGCTTGTTTTTGGCAAAAAATTTACCGTTCATACTTTTTGTACGAAAACTCGAACCCTCATCATTCACTTTAAAAGACAGTAAAAATATCATTAAATTACAAGACCCTTAGCGAAAAGAAAAGTTAATTATACAAATCATACACACCAAAATAGGAAGTCCTTAGCCATGTGATATGATCATATGCCACAATTTAGTGGGATTCCTATTTTAGCCGGGATTGGCTTGATCAATGATTATTAATAAGTGTTCAATCATATTTTTTTCTTTTTTTCTTTCCTTCTTATTTTTATTTTTTATTTTATGTGTGTGAGAGTAAGCTTCACACCACTCAACTCCACACACTCATTACTACATGTATGATTTTCTTTCCCCAATTCTTTTTGTTGTCACTTTAGAAGTCTTTGATCTATAAAAAGGTAGCTTTTGAGTTGGCGCTTAATTATACGTTTATCTACTTCTTGAGTAGATAAAAGTAAATCAAGCCATTGTGGATTCCCACGTGTGAAGCACTTGCACTCCTACTGATAATTCTGAACAAAGTGCATGCTTTTACCCAACTCTCATCTCTCCGAGTGGTGGCAACAAAATGATTAAGGAGAAGAATCTACAATTATCACATAAAAATTGACCATTATTGGTGTGGATCAAAGAGACTGACAATGATATTATGCAGCGCATGAGAGGTTTTGCACATAATCTAATAGTTAAAATTGAATTGATAAATAAGGTTCACTAGTAATGATATAATTTTAACCCTTAAATTCTGTACAGAACCTTTTCTGCGTTAGAGAGGATCCTTGTTCCAAAGACAATCCAAAACAACAATGGAATTTTTTTTTTTTTTTTTTTTTTAATTGGCAACATTGGTTTTAATTAATCAACAAAGCATGAGACTCATTGGGCGATGTCTAACACTACATCACTAGACTTTTGGTAGGTAAAGCAATGCACCACAATGGTTATTGGTATGCTCAATAAATCAAAATATACCGTTCCACTTAGTTGAGGGGATAAATTTTTAGATGGTTCCGAAATCATTGGTCTCGGACAATCATAATTGGACACGTAAAATAAAATAAAAAAATAAATAAATAAAGCTTACATATTTTCAACACGTTTGCTAAGGTGTCCAGTAAGAATTGACATAGGACCAATAGTTCCAGAACCATGTAATAACTTGTCATAAATAGGACACGCCCCATTGAATGGGGTTCAAATCACCTCTCCTTTGAGGAGAGCTCATAGGACCAACATATCATATTTTAGTTGGGCTGTCAAGCCTGTCATAGTTTCACAAATGTTTTCTTATGTGACTGCCATATAAAGCTGGGCTAAACTAGGCCTCACTGAGTGGGTGTCAACCGGGCTTGTATTGAAGCCCAGGGTTTGTTTTTAACAGAATAAGTTCTGCTGGATGGACCTCAGCCTGGCCACTTTGTCTAATGAGCATACATCTAATGAGCATACAGAATAAGTTCTGCTGGATGGACCTCAACTGGGCTTGTCTAATGAGCATACATCTATTCAGAGAATAAGTTATGCTGGATGGACCTCAGCCTGCCCACTTTATCCTTGTTAATCCAATCAAATTGCCAACAACCATGTTTGTTGTCTTTGCTTTGCAATATCGGATAGAATTAGATATACACAATTTTACCATCGCATATGAACATCGTCTATGAAGGGGTATTGTTTCTTTATTTCAAACTCCAGAATCTTCTAATCACAATGAAACAATTTTATCGTTACAAATTACAACTGTTTGCTTATCAGATAAATAAAAGGCAATTCAAGAGAATCAATTTGGTACAAAAAGGCTTGCTTTTGGCAAGAAATTTACTGTCCATATTTTTTGTACGAAAACTCCAACCCTCATCGTTCACTTTAGAAGACAGTGAAGATACCATTAAGTTACAAGACCCTTAGTGAAAAGAAAAATTAATTATACGAATCAAACACACCAAAATAGGAAGTCCTTAGCCATGTGATATGATCATATGCCACAATTTAGTGGGATTCCTATTTTAGCCGGGATTGGCTTGATCAATGATTATTAATAAGTGTTCAATCATATTTTTTTCTTTTTTTCTTTCTTTCTTATTTTTATTTTTTATTTTATGTGTGTGTGAGTAACCTTCACACCACTCAACTCCACATACACCCATTACATGTATGATTTTCTTTCCCCAATTCTTTTGGTTGTCACTGTAGAAGTCTTTGATCTATAAAAGGTAGCTTTTGAGCTGGTACTTAATTATAAGTTTATCTACTTCTTGGGTAGATAAAAGTAAATCAAGCCATTGTGGATCCCCACGTGTGAAGAAATTGCACTCCTACCGATAATTCTGAACAAAGTGCATGCTTTTACCCAACTCTCATCTCTCTAAGTGGTGGCTACAAAATGATTAAGGAGAAGAATCTACAATTATTATATAAAAAGTGACCATTATTGGTGTGGATCAAAGAGACGGACAATGATACTCTGTGGTGCATGAGATGTTTTGCACAGAATTTAATAATTGAAATTGAATTAATAAATAAAGATCAGTGATAATACAATTTCAACCACTGAACTTTTTTTTTTCCATTGGAGAGGTTCCTTGTTTCAGAGACAACCCAAAACAACAGTGGTTTTTTTTTATTTTGTTGGCAACATTGGTTTTAATTAATCAACAAAGCATGAGACTCATTGGGCGATGTCTAACACTACATCACTAGACTTTTGGTAGGTAAAGCAACACACCCTCATATGCACCACAATGGTTATCGGTATGCTCAATAAATCATAATATACCGTTCCACTTAGTTGAGGGGATAAATTTTTAGATGGTTCCGAAACTATAGGTCTCAGATAATCATAATTGGACACGTAAATAAAAAAAAATTAAAAAATTAAAAAAAAAAAAAAAGGGCTTACATATTTCCAACACATTTGCTAACGTGTCCGGTAAGGATTGACACGGGACCAATAATTTCAAAACCATGTAATAACTTGTCATAAATAGGACACATCCCATTGAATGGGGTTCAAACCACCTCTCTCCTTTGAGGAGAGCTCATAGGACCAACATATCATATTTTAGTTGGGCTGTCAAGCCTGTCATAGTTTCACAAATGTTTCATATGTGACATGCCATATAAAGCTGGGCTAAACTAGGCCTCATTGAGTGAGTGTCAACTGGGCTTGTATTGAAGCCCAGGGTTTGTTTTTAACAGAATAAGTTCTGCTGGATGGACCTCAGCCTGGCCACTTTGTCTAATTTATGAACATACATCTATTCAGAGTCTACAAAGTCCTCAATCCAGTATTTGCAACCAATTTGAAGTTTAAAACTTTTGGCCCACTCTCTCTCTCTCTCTCTCTCTATATATATATATATATATATATCTTACTTATTTAATTAAACAAATGATAAAAATCTAAGGCATAACATTATTTTACATAAATAGACTGTTAACAACTAAACCAAGTGTCATAATGTTACTAATTCTTGGAGGGTTAAAAATGTCTTTTACAATGGTAAGAGGTAAGAGATGACTTAATCCTTCCCGTAAAAAAGTAGGATGAAGGTCCTGCTTTTAAATAAAGATGCAATGGTACTAATGTACTATGGGGTACGGCGTACACAGTATTTTGACAAGTTCAATAATAGTGATAGTATATAGCAGTGATGAAAACAATGTATGAGATTATTTGTCACTCTCTTCCTAGAAATATCTAAATGCTCACTACTACACAAGAGCTTCGTCTGATGACCAATTGCTCAATCCAAGTTGCTGGCACTGTTACATGGAAGTCCCTTAACCCGTGGACGTTTTGAAAATAGTAGAAAGTGTGTGCAAAACGAACAATTTTTATATGTATCGGAACTAATCTCTGACAAAAAAATGAAAGTGTGAGGCAAGACGTAAGACCCTAAAATGGGGTTATTACGATGTCCCACTTTCTCTGTTTTGGATGTTAATTACCCCCCTTAGGTTTCATTAGCATGGCATATACATGTCAAAAACATCTGAGACTGTCCTGAATTGTGTAGCCATACTTGTACAAACAAAGCTTTTGTGATCATAGTTAGTAAATCTCAACTTGCATCATATAAAAGATTGTTGAGTCTTGAACACTAGTACTTCAACTATGATGATAACAATCACAGTACATACCCTTTGCTTGACCTGGTGATAGTCTTTGTGGCACAGTCGAATACACCACACTCAACTGGCGTCTGCACTGTGGGGGTCCTGTCGGTGACACCATTTTCAACACTCTGCACATGATACACGCGTGCCCTTTTACCTCTCACACACACACACACACACAGTGCCCTAATTGTATTTAATAACACAATGCATGTCCACCCAAATGGCCACAGCCCCTGCATCATGTTTAGTATGCCTCTGTACCAGTGCAGTAACCAATGCCACACCTTGTCTCATGACAGAAGAGTCACCAACAAAATGAACACACTCAAAGTTGACTCTGTCTAGGCTCATCAAAACCATAAAGTAAAATATATTATTAATGAACAATGTAACGACTATGTCCTCAAAGCAATAAAACAAAGTGTATATATATATATATATATATATATATTAATCACTCATTTAAGTTTCATATATATTAATATTGTAGAACCACAAACCACAAGATCAAATCAGTCCTGAAACAAGAACAAAATGACAGAACTGAATAATATAATAGAAACCATCATCTAACAACTTCACAATAATAGATAAATAAAGATTCATCACTGAAACACATCCCCATCTTATCCCCAACCCATTCACATGATAGAGCAGCTACTAGTATTCTCATCACTGAACATATGAGTTGCTTGATCACCATTGGAATTGGGCTCACTGTAGGTGTTGTAATTGTATGGGATGGGGTTATAGTTGTAATTGTAGTAATAACCAGTGCTAGGTGGAATGAATGGTGATCTTTGATACATCGTCTGGGGTTGTTGTGGTGGTTGTTGCTGCTGCTGCAGGGCTAGCCTGTTCTGCATGTTCATCATCATTGATGCTGATGGATACCCATTCATGTTCATGTTGTTCATCATCATGGATGATGATGGATGATGACCTCCTGTTGCAAGACCACCATTTGGGATTCCATTAGAAGAAGGCCCTTGGAAATTACCATTGTTTGGTTGAACTTGAAACCCTCCCAAAACATTGGAATTGGAATTGGGATTGCCTCCAAGAGCAGCAACATTTACATTGTTGGCCCCATTTCCATGAAAACCAGCAAGACCCATCATGGCATTTATGTCATTTGATCCCCTTTTGCCTTCCATAGGATTATTGATGTGTCCTCCTGATCCTCCACCCAAATGGGCATTGTTCATTTTCAGAGCTGCCATGGTTTTCTGATCAATCCCACCTTGGTTAGGGTTAGGGTTAGGGTTAGGGTTAGGGTTTGCCTTCATTCCCATGTTCTGATTTGGGTTGCCTTTCTTTCCAACATTGCCATTCATTTTGGCATTGTTGGAAGAAGCTGCAGCAATGCCTCCAACAGCAGCTTTATTGGCATTGTTTGCCTGCAAGGCAGCTGCTTGTTGCCTGAGCAGCCCCAATTGGTTTGCTCTCTCCCTCAGAAACCGCAGATCGTCGTCTTCATCGTCGTCTTCGTCGTAATCATCATCATCAAGATAGTAATCATCATCTTCTGAGACAAGTGAAGCAGCAGGGAACTTCTGCTGGTGCTGCTGGTGTTGCTGGTTCTTGAATGCTTCAAGCCCCTTCATCATATTCATACTCTGCTTTTGGGCTTTGATGTTCTTGTCGTTGTTGTTGTTGTCATCTTTGATGCATTGGACCTTTTGCTTTTGGCTCGGGTTGCTGCTTTTCTGTTGATGAGACCATAGCTCAGCATGCTTACCTGCTCTGACCAATTTCTTGATCAAAGTTGCAGAATCTACACTCCCTGAGACTGTCACTTTTTGCTGCTCTGCATCTATGCTTACTTGGTAAACACCTTTAACAAAAATGGTCAACAAACATACATACATGAATATACAAATAAATCAATTTGTATATGATCAATTTCTAGACTTGGACTAATGTGAGAGCAAAAATGGAAAACAAAACAGCCACAAATATACAACTACACAAAATAAATCAAACTATATATGATCAATTTCTAGAGTAATATGTTAGATTAAGTGACTCCATTTCAGGAATTGTACAAGGATTTCACCAATTTCTGGTTCAGAAGGAAAACCCCATACTTATTTGAAGATAAAATGGTCAGTACTACAGAGTATGCCATTGTTAAAGTCATTAATGTCAAGAAATAAACACACCCTCTTGGTGAATAATACCCATTAGAGAGGGGAGTCATCAAACACTATTCACAGTCAATCAGACAATTACAAACAAAAACAACATTTAAAAAAAAAAGGAAAGAAAAAGTAAAAAATTGGGAAAAGAAAGTGGAAAAGTGAGCACCTTCAATTCTCTGAAGAAGTTTTTTCACTTTTTGCTTGCACCCATCACAATGTATGTTCACTTTAAGAACACAAGTCTGTAAAAGGGGAAAAAATAGAAGAAACCAACCAAGAGCAAACAACAACAAATAGAAATTTTTTTAAGGAAAAGACCAACACCCAACTTTTCTTTGCATTGTTTATATATATACATGTAAGTAAAGAAGACTTAAGAAAAACAGACAAAAATGTGTTTTTTAGAGAAAAACCTGGATCTTGAGGAGCTTAAAGTCTTCATCTTTAGTCATTTCTTCAGTGCTGTTTGGAATGAAAGATGTCTCACTCTCTGAGCTAGGAAAGAAAGGGAAAAAAAAAACTAAAAGGAACTACCTAAGCTAGTGGGGGTAAAAGGGCGTTGGTTGGTTGCATGTGAATTTCTAAAACAAGAGATTCTTCTTTCACTCTTCCTCTCCAGTTCTCAGAAACAAACAAAGCAAAAGCACATGGGGGTGGTGTTTTTGAGTACAATGCAAATACAAATTTAATGCCAAGACAAAGTGGAGAAAGAAATAAATCACATACAGAAAAAGAGAAGAAGATACAGATAGAGAGAGATGAGAGTCAGAGGGAGAGTAAAAGGTGGGAGAGAGGAGAGGAGAGAGAAAGAGAGAGAGTGAGAGGAGAGAGAGAGAGAGAGTGGTGGAGCTTCTGAATTGTTGAAATGATGTGATTTAACGTTGAATACTGCTGACTACTGAGAAAAACAATAAAAGAAGAACAGCGACTTGACAGGCCAACTTCTCTATCCCTGTCCTGTGAACCCCAACCACCATTTCTCGTGAAAATAAGCAAACACCATAAGCCCATTTTGTTATCATTTTAATGGGCCAATCCGGTACTCTATTGCAGTCCACTTCTGTTTGGGCTTCAGGCCATAATGCTCAATTTAGTGTTGGATGTCAAATCAATCAAAATATCTGATTCCTTCATTCGCTATTTAATCCATTAATTGAAATTCCAAAAGTATCTTTGGTAAAACAACACTTTTTAGTTAGAATATATTTTATTTTTTTATTACAAAATTTGCATTAACTTTCATATTGAAAATCTAAAAAGCATGAAGTCACATGAACATATATACTTTTATGAGATTTGATGATTTTTTTTATTTAGGCCAAGTCTACAGATAAAAGTCAAATTAGGTAAAGGCATATAAATTTTGAAATAAAATAAAAAACTGACTCTAAATTTAATCAAGACAAGAATCAAAGCCCAAGAATGAAAATCAAAGACAGAAGAGATTAAAGACTTAGCCATCGTTAAGGTAATAGTTTCAAAGTTACATTCACAAAGCAACTCCGAACGAGGAAAAACCACCCAAACCAAATATCAGATCAAGTTGGGGACAACCAAAATCGATATAGATTATAGATCTAGCTAAAGATATAACAATAGATCTACTTATACTAGCCGAAAACAAGCCAAATATGAATGGATCTAGCCAAATAAAAGCAAAAAAAGGCGTAAAAAACGACATATTTGATGAATTAAGAGGCCTTATACCAGGTTTGAATTTATTCTAATTCTCCGGTCAAGTTGTTCAAATCCCCCTTAGTCTCAAAATAAGTATTTAATTTAAAAAATAAAAATATATATATGTTTTGTTAATATTATCAATTTTTTTTTCTTACAAAAAGAAAATCATCACTTTACTATAAATTTGTAGATTTACTTTACTTTGTTAAATTGTTTGTAAGCGCGTCATGTAATAACATTGGTAACATATAGCTTTTGTTTTTTTTAGTAAAAAAGACACTTATTTTAGTACCCAAATATGATTTAACTCTAATTTGAATAAAATAGGACTCTACTATTAAAATATGAATAAGAATTTCATACTTTTGTGAAAAGTTATCCTAAGAACCAAGCAATTTTGTCCTTCCTAAAAAAATAATAAATAAATTGTCTAAGAATCATAAATTGAGTTAAGGTTGGAAGGGACCTAACATTTTTAAGGTAGGGAGGATATTGTCATATTTCGTGTGATAACAAATTGTCATGCTTTGACAAAAACTTCTAATATATGTTGGGATAATAATGAACATTACTGTACTGTGTACATTTATTTGAATTTTTGTAATATACACACACACATATATATGTATGTATATATTTGAGAATTTTTATTCATATTTTTCAGAGATTTTGTAACCTTGTGATGAAAGGTTTGTGTCCTCAATTCCTAAACTGTCCCCAATCAACTCTTAAATCAAATTTTTTATTTTTATTTTATATATCTAATACATTCAAAGCCGGACAGAGGGGTGGGCAAAAGTGGGCTGTTGCCCACCCCAAATTTTATTTTATTTTATTTTACTATACTAATATTAGCCTAGCCTCTATATATATATATATATATATATATTAATAGTATTAGCCCACCTCAGTCTCCCATATATTAACAGTATTAGCCCACCTCAGTCTCCCACCCAAGTATAAAACTTGTTAAAAATAACAATGCGTAATGCGTAGTAGGATTGGAAATGAATTTCTTGTTGACTGGATAACCATCAATCTTGAACAAGAGTTTGTTTGAAAAATTGACTTAAAATTTATTATTGACGAATTCAAATCTTTAAAGATTCGTCGAGCACAATTTAAATATATATTTTATAATATTTGAATTTAAATATTTATTTATATTATGTTATAATTTTATTTTTATTTTTGCTTAAGAAATTTGTTATTAAATTTATATTTAATATTAGCTCATCCCAACGAGAAATCCTGAATCCACCTTTGATAACATTGTTAATTATTAGTGAAAGAAAATTTTGTATGAGAAAGTAATATGGGAAATAATATGACAAATAAGTGCAAGAGGAACAGAGGATCAAGAAATTTACGGAGTATTATATATTTAATTAAAAATTCAATAATGTATTTTTTAAAATAAAATATCGGATCTTAATTTTATGTCCCTTCCAAGTGTACGAAACGAGAAATTGAAAGTGTTACATATCCCGTGAATGGTGGGGCCAGTCATTTTACACTAGGGGAGCAGGACAAATAGGGTTTCAGTTACGAGGGCACATTTTCCACTTTTATATATATACACACACATATATATAAGCACTCCATGTATCGCAAGCCAGGTGGTTATGAAATAACCCCCTTAATTTGAGCTTATTTCTGGTAGGTACTCATTGGTTTTGCTATTTTACCGTTCAAATTTTATAATGAGACTTTGAAGATATAAAAAAGCTTTACGCTTTAGTTACTTTAATAAAATTGAATCCTTCCCCATTTTCTACTTTAAAAAGTGAAAAAATACCGTTAAGAAAAAAAATTTGTATTATTTACTTTGTATATATGAATTAGATGTACATTTCTTATATTAATGAAAATTAAAATGAGTAGTGTTATGATGAAAATTGTTCAATAAGTTGGACATTATCACTATTTAGTATCATGTTTGAAGTGTACTTAGACTTTGTTTGATATACGTTTTGTTTTTAGTGTTTTTATTTTTATCGGATACTTCAGTAATGAATAGTATATGGTAAAAAATCAAAACACCAATTTGGTGTTAAAAATTAAAATTTTCATTTTTTTTTTTTGTAAAAAAACTCTTAAATTAACATTTTTAAATTAAACATGATAATTTTCAAACGTCCAACACATTTTTACCAACACATGTTTTTATGTTTTTACTTCAAAAAATCTCACAACAAATGGACGTTACCAAACATACTTTCGATTACATTATTACTATTCAAATCACTCTACAATAAACACTTGTTTTGTTTTGGATTAAAACAAAAAATTTGATTTATTTTTAGTTAAAACAAAGTACCAAAAACAAAATGCGAACCAAACGTAGCCTTATGTAATTGAAAAGGTTACGAGGAGTCAGCTGATTAAGAACTCGAATCTTTTCCTACATTGTTCCACTTCCATCCATCCTCCCTGCTACTAAAATGCAAGTTCGAAAAGAATCTTAGGGCCCGTTTGGCAACCACAGTTATTTTATACTTTTGCTTTGATCCGAAGCAGAAGCAATGTTTCTGTTTTAGAGTGTATTTAACACTATTTTGAAACTTATTTGGTAACGTAAATTTGTTACAAAATTTTTAGAAGCAAAAATATGAAAGCATATTTGGTAAAAAGTGTTGTAAGTTAAAAAAATTGAATAGCTAGTTAAAAATGTTAATTTAGAAAGAAAAAATAAATAAATTTGAATAGTATTTTGTTACAGTGTGAAAGTAAACAAAAGTATCATTTTGATGCTTTCGATTTTAACATCAATTTTGAAAATATTTCGATATTATTTAAATGACAACAAATATTACCAAATATATTTCGTATTTTTATTTACATAATACATTAGTAAAAACATAAAACAAAAGCATTAGCTAAACGTATCCTTAATTATATGGTTGTTACTATTTTTATATTTATTATATAACAATTTCACGTCACAACATTATCCAAAATAAAATACTATACCTTAAACAAATATAAAATATCAAGAACATAATACCTGACTTTCACAAAAGAGAACATTGTATACTACTACCTATTGTATACTACTACCTATGACAAATGAAAAATAACAACAATAAGATTAATTCATGTAACTTTTGGGGGTTGCTATAAATTTAGCCATCACGTGGGGTTTGAAAAAAGAAACATAAAACAAAGTCCATCTTTCAACCACACAATTCCCAAACATACTTTCTAATATTTTAATATTTTATTGGACATTGCAAATACTACCACAGCTACTCATGATGGGTTGTAACTTTTGACTTTAGGTCTCACTGTCCTAAAAAAACGACATTGTATTTTTAATTATTTTAATTAATTAATTTAATAATAGAACATAACAATTAATACAGTAATAAACTTAGAGAAAAGGCACGCAATCACATAAAAAGACGGAAAAATGTGAAAGTGGTGAAGTGTTAGGTCCATCATTACTTGTTGCCATCACCTGCACCTGCAACTCTCTTTCTCTCTCTCTCCTCTTTCTTTCTCTCTCTCTATCTCTATCTCTATCTGCGCATTCTCTGTCCCCAAACTCCAAAAGCCTCCACTTTTTCCTTTTCTTTTTTACTTTTTTGCAATCTTTGCTTATCCTTCAAGTTTTTCAATTTCAACCAAGGTAATTACCATTACTGTAGTGACCCTTTTCTTCTATTTACATTTCCCAACTAAGAGTGGTAAATTCTGTGAGATCATCATATCAGAAAAACTAAAGACAAATAGTACTACTTTGATGAACGGTTAGGATCATCAAAAATGCGGATGGGTTTTATCGTACAAATTTACAGTCAATTGGAACCACTAGTGATGGTACCCTTTGGATTCCAATCTACTGAGCTATATAATCTTTCCACTGGGTCCCACCAAATCATCAATGGTCGGTGTTAGATTCTTCTTTGTTGGGCTGGCTGCTTAGTGGGCCGGGTTCAATGCTACTCCACAAGTGGGCCCATTTCTGAATTCAGCCCACCAAGCTTCTTGAACTTTTGGGTACGTGTCAGTAGTAAGTTTGATTTCAATCACGCATTTTTTACAGTGTAAAAATCCAAACAGGGGATGTAGCTCAAATGGTAGAGCGCTCGCTTTGCATGCGAGAGGTACAGGGTTCGATCCCCTGCATCTCCAAATTACTTACTTCTTATTGTTTTATTTCAGGT